GATATAATTTACTGTTTAAAAAAATCATAAAAGCATATGTTATAGCACACAAAGAATTATTTTGTCATCAAGTGATTTCAATCTTTAGTGTTAATATTTATATTTAGATTAATTTTTATAAATGAAAATATTTTAATGGGTAAAATGAAGACTATATGATCTATTTGATTAAGTTTGAGTGAATATTAAGCTTGCCTTGTTGTTGTTATCTGCATACTCACCGAGAATTATTGTCAAGAGAAATTATAAAAGAGTAAAAGCAATTTATGAAAAGAATGCCTTTTCAAGGACTTGATTCATAAAGAAAAACAAAAAGCTCTTCTCTGTTTTTTCGATTTATGTGCGCTTTGGCCAGGAAGCGTGCAGAACCCACAGCCACACACAGGGCTCAGGTACTGCCTGTCCCCAGGTGACACAGTCACACCCAGGAGATGGGCAGCTCCACAGAGGTGCTGTGGTTTGCTGAGGGGAAGAGGACACACTCAGTTCAGACTTTTTCCTCTAGGGATGGGTTGGGAGGAATCCTGTTAGGAGCATTTGATGGCTAATCTTCTCCAAACTGTCAAGTCTGTTGGGTGAAATATCATCTCACAGTTTCTCAGACAGCATTTCTTTAGCTGTCTCTGGGATTGCTACAAAAACTGAGCGAGAATCCTGATGATAACGTTAGCCTGATATTTCCAAACTCCTCTGCGATGAATGCGGATCAAAATATTTATCAACATATCTTCTCAACCATGAGAGCATTCATTAAAACTAGTGAGTTTTAAGTAACACTTTGGGTCAGCAGATATGTTGTATTATAAATGGTAGTAAGAACCTCATTATACTAAAAACCCACACCTTGCTGACAGATCACTTGCAAAGACAAAAAAAGGATTAAAATATCTGCAATGGTTAATTCAACCACTATTAAATTTTTGTAGTAATTCTAACAACTAGAAGTGGAAGTCCATTCTAGTTTTTCTTTTGCAGAATGATTCATGGCCTGGATTTAACCATCAGTTATTGCCTAAATTATAATGATATGACGTGGAGTAAACTGTACTATTCCTGCTAATAGCTATTAATCAAGATTAGATATATTGTAAGTAACAATTCTTATGAAATTAATATAATAAAGTTATATTAGCATGAGTAAACATGAGTATTGAGCCACAACCCCAGGCTTATTGACGTGGACTAATGGAGTAGACAGTACATGGCTTGTGATCCTCAGAGTGACTTTAGCTTGCTCAGATAGTGTACTTACAAACAACTACATTGTTTTAAAGGGAATCATCTAGTCCAGGTCCTTAACCCTTTTGGATAATGGAGCATGAATATATGTAGTAGGCACAAGACTACTCCACTGAGTTGAATTAGCCAACTTTTTTTTCTTCAGCAGAGAAAATATCCTCTTTGATATCATTTTGTTCATTCATATATCTTTCCAGCAGCACAGGAAAAATCATGAAGGGCCAGTGAGTACTTCAGGGTGACATTCTTATGAGTGGATGTTAACAATCTCTAAAAAATATATGCAGAGCACCAACATTTCATGCCATTAATGCAGGTACATTAAAAAATAGTAAGAGGCTTTTTTCATTCTTCCAACCATTGCTTTTTATTATGACATATCAACAGCCATTGACTTTGAAATGTGACAGGAGGATTTCATGATATATTTAACACTGCAGAGATTAAATCCCTGCCCAAAAGCTGTGTGGGTTTTGGATAAACCTAACGTTACAGTGAACAGCATCAGGAGACTGGTAGGGACACACAACAAAGAAATGTTTTTATAAGCTGTGGTGGCACTTTGCACTAGTGTCCATGCATTGTCTTTTACCTGCACCCTGAACATGTTTCTTTTTGAAGTGACTTGCACAAGGAGGAGAAAGAAGAGTAGCGAGGGATTGCTAAGCAAAAGAACTGCAGGACTGAGGTGCAGGGGAGGGCACAATTCAAAGATCAGAGGTTGGGTTACCACCTCGGGGAATGAAGATCACCAGTCATTGTCTTCTGTGCCCAACACATTTTGCTCCCACAAAGCATTCAGGATGAAATCCAGGTGTCTGCCACGGCTGCTTCTCAGCTGTCTCTTCCCAAACCGACCAATGGGCCGAACACCACGGCCCACATACCAAAAAGGATCAATCTCAGGACCTGGAATTCAAAGCAGTCAGTGAGGCAGCTACCACTGGCACTTAGAGGCAGTGTTTACTTAATATCTTGAGAATGTTAGATAGCTTACTTGTAGCCCAGGAGAAAAAAAAAAGGGGTGGGGGGAGGCCACAGCCAGACACACAGCTTTCTGGTGCCTTTGAGGGTTGCTTTCCATATGTAGAGCTCAAAGGAAGAGGATTAGGATGGAAAATTAACTTTCATCCATCTGGGCTGCAACCTGCAATTCTAATGTAAACCAAAGTATACATCAAACTCAGGAGGGCACAACGTGCTTTAAAACTGATCTGAACCCCGGAAGGTTATGATGCAGACTACATCCAGAAAGGCCATAATAGCTCCCTGTACATTTAAATGTCCTCTCCTGGCTAAAGTCCTGGCAGTCCAACTGCCAAGCCTCCATTTCTGCAATATGCACCAGGTATGCTACCTCCATAGGCTAACAAATCCACTGGATTGCAGAGCTGGGGTTCCTATGCGAGAGGTAAGCATTAAAAGTTAATCCTTTTTCACTTAGTAAGTTGTTTTCATTAATGACTTCTTTTCTTTTAAAGCATTTGACACTTAAACTTGACTTATTTTTGTAGTCTAGTCTAGTTTTAGAGCAAGTGTGGAAAGAGGTATAGCTGTATTAAAGACCAAGATACAGCAACAGGAAAAATCTAATGCCAAATAATTCCAAAGCTGGAGGACTGTCAGGAACATTAATAAATTGCAATTTAAGTGCATTATATATCATCCAAGTCATATGAAATTCTCAGGCAAGGCAGCAGGATTTTCCCCTGTGCATTTTGATGCTTGAACTGAGAAAATAAAATCAGTTTGGCTTTAAATTTCTCCATAAATACATCTTTTAAGTCTTTCAACACAGTGTTTAACACCCTTCCTGCCCAACAAAACCCAAGTAACATGCTTTCTTTCACCTGCGTATCTAAAAACTGAGGTTCCCAGAATCTCTAGACCTCTTTAATGGGGAAAGCTGTGCCACTGACTGACCATGCACCTTACTCCCCACGCCTCCTCTCCCACTCTACATACAATTATCAGCCTTTCCTCCTTGGGGGAATATGAGCTTTCTTGATAAGATTTTCTCAGAAATCTCTTAGACTGCATTAGCTTCTACTTGGGACACATGGTCTTGTCCCTCACCTGGCCAGCCTCATTTTCTCACAGCATCTCTGAATGGAGACACTTCAACCACTTGTATTTGGACAACTCATGGTCCCAGACAGAAATGAAGCTTCTGGCCCAATCTTTTCTTGTTATTGTATAGAAGTAGTTGTGAACTACCTCAGGCCTACAGAACACAGCTGAAAACTTGGTGCATAAACATTTGATGTATGCCACCTTACATTTTCTTGTAATTCTTTTGCACATTAGTGTCTTCTTTAAAATTTATCAAAAAATAATTCTATTTGCTTTGGCTATTTAAGGGCTGTGAGAAGGATATAAGGTTCTGTATATGCACTGACAAGTGAAAATGGAAGCACAGGACCACACACCATTTCATCACAGAAACACCCACATGGATATGCTGCTGAAGTTTGTGTGATAGCCCAATCCTGATCCCTTGATGCAGCAGAGACTATGGGGTCACCAAGTGGGAGTCCATCATTTTATATCAGGTGAGGCTCATACTTACTTCTGTTGTCTATCTGATGTTTCAATGGCCTGCTCTGTCCTGAAGCAAAGCTGAGTGATACCAAGAGCACCAACATGTAGACAGTGACCAGCTTTAAGTGGTTTGGTGACCACTGAGCATGTGGTGTCCACAAGATTAGATGGCACATGATGGAGCAGTGGTGGGAAGGCTGTAAGGAGAAAAGTGAACATGGGGAACACATATGAATTAAAGCTCTCAAGGTGAAGGAAGCTGTCAACTGTAATGGTGTGTTCCTATCTGTCAAAGCTATTTCATGACTAAGTTCTTTGGAATACTCATGCTAGGGATGTCCTGGGCATATTTCTTTGAAGGCAAAGGCTATGCACTGGGCCATCTACTGAGAAAAAAAGGTGGATAATTTTTCTTTCCAGCAGTGAAAGCCTCTGTCAGGGCTTCAAAGGCCATTCAAATCCTGGCCTTGAGCTTGCTGCTGACTTTTGTGTGGCCCTCTGTATGACCATGGGCATTGGCCACCAAAATGTGTTTTAGCCACTGCTGCCAGCATGCTTTCCTCACTTTTAAAATGTGTCTAATGTTTACATTTTACACACTTTTTATAACTAAATGCATTTCAGTATGAAAGGGAATGCTTCTCCTGTGTCATCACACCCAGCATGCAAAAGTACAATTTCCAGCTGTGGTTTCCTCTGGTAGATGTCCCAGTCCTGTACATGTACGATTAGAAATCCTTCCCAGCTCCCCCTGGGACAGGCTGGGCAGAACAGAAGATGCTGAGCTGGAAAAGTTGCATCCAGGAGGTGATGGAACCCAGGCTCAGGTTACCAGTGTCTCTGGCATTTTGTACAAGCTTCCTTGCAGCAGCTCTCCCAGCTGTATTGCCAGGACAGTTCGCCTGGTAACGTGCAAGGTCTACCTATATATTTGACAGCCTGAAGCTTCTGCCTACAGAAGTCAGCAGGAGCCCTGTTTGCTTAAGCATCACTTAGAGAGGATATACAGCCACAGAACTATAGGAAATCCTCTCAGCTACGCCTACACAGAGGCTTCTCCTTGTGTACAGGTGGGGTTTTCCCTCTGTTGCTGCCAAAAT